TCTATATAAGCCTGTAGTTTGTTTTGCATGTGATATCCACGATTGTTTGTTTGTTATGTTAGATTTCCTATTTTATTGTTGACTGTTGTTTATAGCATAGCACTAGGGACAGCTAGACTGAGGTGACAGGTTATTGAGATTAGAGTTCAGAATTAGGGAAGAAAAAAAATACTCCATGACTATTGCTGAAAATTTATTTTCTGATACAAATCATATATGCATAATTTATATTTTAGGCATATAATTTATACCCTCACTGACCCGCTATGGCTTACCTAGATGAATTCTACTTAATGGCAAATGCAAAAACAGTTAGCCTAAAATAATGTCAGTAAGATGTAAATTCAAAGTCCAATAATGATGATTGGTTGTTACTGTGGCTAATTCTATGAAACGTAACCAAATACTCTTGAAGAGTTTCCGAGAAAAAGTCCTTATCGAAGTAATGGAAGTACTGTAAAAATTGGGGCGATCTAATTGTCTGTTTGCACCCCAGGGTATGTGTACATTCTTGTATCGTAAGTACCAAATAGTTTTGAGGAATTATTACCAGTCTTTGATAACGTTGATCTCATTAGTCTTAGCTGTAAAATAAAGATCAAAGCGGTCTTGCTTTGCTGCATGGTGCACTTATTTATCCCCCACCCACCAATCCCACAAGAACAACAACACAAAAATGAAACAAAAAGGATGAAGCAAGATCGTCTAAAATGAATCATGTATGAATGTTGCAGATAAAACTCAGTAAGACACATTTTAACCCATTCATCTGTGTTTGCCGTCTAAGCAAGTACTACTGGATTATTTATTGCCGCGTCTGTCTAGAATACCTAAGTAGTTTGGGTCTAAGCGCTGTGTGAACGCCATGCACCAATAGAAACACCGCTTTGGATGCGAAAGGTCGCGGGTTCGAATCCGGTCATAACAAAGACCTAAAAATATAGTACTAGCAGCTGTCTCGCTTGGCGCTCAGAATTCAGAGGTTGGTGTTAGAACTGGTTGACCTGGTGTCAGGATAATGTGACTTGGTGGGACATGATGCCTCGTTGCTAGACTTCACTATAAACTTCAACACTGCAGATATCTTAGCGATATGACTGAAAAATTGTTAAAGCTACGTTAAAAATCATACACACACACGCATACACACAGATTAGGGTCTTAAAGCCTATGATTTTCAACAAATGTTATAATTAAATAATTATAATTAAATTAAAACAACTAAAGAATATACGTGCATGATTATAAGCTGCTTCTGATAAGCGATCGCTAAATTAGAAAGTCATATCCGCTTCGTAATGCAGTTTGTTCTAATTGAATATGAAACATATAGAGATCCTTCCTGTAATAAGCTTATTTCCTGGAAATGGATTATAACATATGACCACGATGTCCACTTTCCAGAAACGTCTTGTTTTTGCCACAAGTCAGAGACAAATGCCATGGTTAATCCAAATCGGTAGTGTACGCAATGTTGGATGTACGTCAGAAGAGTAGTGAAAAGACGAGAGAAGGATGACAGTTAATATTGATAAAAATTTTGTACTAAATATATGTAAAATCACTTACATGTGCACTAGAGTAAACATGTATAGATTTTTTTATAGCAGAGTGTTAAAAGGCATCGAAAAATTACTATATTACAAATAGATAAATATAGTAGAATTATTTGCGATATATATATATATATATATATATATATATATATATATATATATATATATATATATATATATATATATATATATATATATATATACATACATACACACACACACAGAGATTGGGATAAAAATATTGGCACTGCCATTACCTCAATTTAGTGTTTTTGTTTGGTACGGAGAATAGGTTTAATTATATGCTTATTAAGAATACACTGCTCATGCATGTTTGTATTGCTTCCAAGTAATATTTATGTTGGCTAGTATTTCATTTGGTAATTATAATTCTTTCGTCTCCAATCAAGGAAGAAAATACCGATGATTAAGAGGATAAAAGTAATATAACTGGTATTACGATAAAGACAATGTTTTTACTCTTGTGGCAATAAGCATCATGAATTAATACTTCATTAAGTGCTAAACTTGAACAAAAAAAAACTGACTGGGAGAGAGAGGGTGGAGCTTTTTCTTTTTTAAATGTTGCAGAAACGTAGAAAAGTGTCAGAAGTTTATTCAAATCAAAATCCGCAAGTCATTCAATGTCCTAAGGCCACATCTCGTGGAATATATTGACAGCAAATGTGTTTTATTTCTAAATTACCTGAGTAAGACTACAAGACTGGACTTTGCCACAGATGTTTTTATATAACGATCTCATCTCCTAAAAATCATTTAAGTCTGAATATGTAAGATGGTGTATTAGTAACCATCACATTCACCCATTCTCTTCCCTTATCTGTTTTGTTTTTAAAGGTAAGTGTTGGATGATAAACGAACCGTGTATTTGTTTGTTAAGGTGAGTGTTAGATGATAAAATAATGTGTATTTGTTTGTAAAGGTGAGTGTTGGATGATAAACAAAATGTGTATTTTTTTGTTAAGGTGAGTGTTAGATGATAAAAAATATATGTATTTGTTTGTACTGCGAGTGTTAGTGATCCTACTCATTAAATATCTTGCATTCCTTTTCAATTTAATTTTGTTTGCAAGTGTATTGGTTTCGGGAGATAGATAAAGATTGTCGGATTTTAATTATGTGTGTTACCATCTATAAAATCGTTATCTCCTTTCACAAACGGTTGTTTGTATCTGATGTAAATAGCATATCTTTAATTGTAATTACGCATGTTAGTAACTACATACTCTTTTCCCCTTTTTCAATGAGTTTGTATGAATGTGTGTGGAAGTTGGACAACAAGGATGTGTGTTTGTTTGTCCATTAGTTGGTGTGAGCGACCATCACCAATTGATAGTTCCCTCCACTGTTTTGTTTGGATCTATGAGTATGATTGTAACATTGCGTGACTATTCTCTCGTCCTAACATAGACCCTTTCTTATCATTTAAGCTTGTAATTTAAAAGCAGAAGAGTCTGTTTATTTGTAAGGATCATTCACCAATATATACCATATAACCTTTGAGGTGGGTAGGAAATAATCTGGGTGCGTGTTTGATGGTAATGGTGTGAATTTGTCCATAAACAGGTGTGAGTGAACCTCAGTCATCTCATTTCCATGTTCTATTTAGTTTGTAAGTGTGTGTTTCATTGTAAGGGTGTGTGTGTTTGTCATAGATGGACGTGAGGAATCTTCAGCTATCATCTTTCCATCGTTTATTTTGTTTCTGAAGGTGGGTGTTGGATTGTAATTATTTGTGTTAATGACCATTGCATAGCTCCAATTTCCCTCTTCTGTTTTGTTTGTCTTTGTGAATTATAGATCTTGATGCTCGTTATATGGTAGTTCTTGTCACTCTAAAAGGTGAGAGAAAACAATATCGCATGTGTTAACGATCTAGAGTTTTATTAACCCCCAAAGGTACTCGTCAGGGACACCGTCTGTTCTAGACAAAGGTACACTGCTCAATAGCATCAGCACCAAATATAACTTTGCAATTTTTTAAAATATTTCATGTTTTTAGTTTTTTGTTTAATTTTGTAAAATGTTATTACAAAGTTGGTACATTTTGACTTTATGATATATCTTGACAATTTGTAACAACTTGTTTATATTTAATTTTTTTTCTCAAGTGTGGAAATATTATGTTTTCTTTTTAATTTTGGAGTTTTCTCCGACTTCATGTATCTCGAACAATTTGTCTAATTTGTTTATAATTTTGACTTGTTCATTTTATTTTAAATTTGTAATTTTTTCCGTAAATTTCTTTAGAATTTGTAATAATTATTAATGTAATTGTTTTCTGATATCTTTTAATCTTAGATATATGCCGTATTAGTTTCAGAATTTTAGTATCACGTTTAGTCTAGGTCATAGTTTTGAGTTTTCTGTATATTTTTATCTCTACTAAATTCCGTATATTTATATATTTATTAGCAGTTGCAGTCTCAGGCTTATTTTTTCAATTTGTCAGGACTCCGCTAAATTATGTGCCAGTTTTAAAATTGTAATACCATTTTAATCAATTCCATAACTATTAGATTTTTCTACTAATTTTTTATTTTTATTTTCTGCTAAATTCCGTAATAGCTTTAGAAATTACGATTTACTTCAGTTTTGGTCAATCTCTTTGAAAATAATATTTCGGATTTTTTCTCTGCTAAAGTCGATAATAGATTCGGCATTCTTTAAGTGTCAGTCATTTTGTTTAATATACTGGATGTTTCTAGTCTAAGGTAAAGTCCGTAACAGTTTTTTTTTTTTCAATTTTAACATTACTTTTAGTCGTTGTCATTTTAGTGTTATTATGAGTTGGGTCCCTTTATCACAGCTATTTAGAGCATCATTACAATATATACAAAATTGACACCAATAACATAATCTGGGATACAGATATTTTATATATAAATATGTGCCGCTTTAAAGATGTGAATGTCAGTAAGACAAGTGAGCTTAGACAATAGGTGTGGGTGTTTATCCAATACGACTGCTTGATGGTCAGCAGGTGTGAGTGATAATATATACATGTACTGGTTATTAAGTTAGACCAACAAGTAGATCTCTGCTTTTTAATATCTGACAGCAGCTGTCAGATATAAAAAAGCAGAGACCTACTTGTTGGTCTAGTTATTAAGTGAGTATGTGTTGGTTAGTAGAACTGCCTTTTAGTGAGTAGGCGTGGGTGTTTGTAAGTAGAGGGACAATTGTGGTTAGTGTGTGTGTGTGATTGGATTTTTAACGTAGTTTCGACAATTTATCAGTCATATCGCTACGATCTCTGCAGTGTGACAGTTTATAGTGATGTCTATCACTGGAGCATCATGCTGCAAACATGTTGCATCATGTCCCATCCAGTCACATTATCCTGACACCAGTCCGAACACTAACCTCTTAATGCTGAGCGCCTAGCGAGGCAGCTTTTAGTAACATTTTATGTCTTTGGTATGACTCGGCCGGGATTCGAACCCGCGACCTGCTGCATCTGAGGCGGTCACTCTAACCACTAGTCCCCCGAAGCGGTCCGAATATGGTAGTAAGATAGTATGTTGATCGGTAGGTGTGAGTGTTGGTCAGGAAGATGATGTGTTGGTCAGTTTGTATGGGCAATAGTCAGCAATTTTAATGTTCAATCCTCTTTTCCTCAGTCCGTCCCAACATGTTCAATGTTTCATTTTGCCTTGAATCCATACAGTCCGACATAGCTGGTTTATACATTGTAATTTTCTCTGTACATGTACCATCTCACAATGTCAAACCTGTGGATTTGTTTGGCATTTCCATTGCCATTCTACCCATGTTGAACCTATATACTAATGTCAAGTTCTTCTTGTACCCATACATTCCCAGTCAAAGATGACCGTCTGAAGATAAATGCACGTTGGATCCGTATGGCCACATTTGTACCTATTGTATTCCATATTACTACTCATACTAAACAAGGGTGGTTTACCCTATTGTATATTTTTTTCAGAGTGGAAATGTACACGGGCAATCAAGAACTTGGCTAAGAGACTTAGACATTGTCTAAATATTTTATTTCATTAGAAATCCATTGTTCATTCGTTTGGAAGACATATTCCTTAAGGCACAGGGCTTGAAAAGGTTAACTGTTATCACCAATAATAGTATATAAATTACAGGTTATAAGCGCCAATCAAATGTATGACATTCCAACAAAACTTTTAAACATAACCAAATCTGCCATTCCCTTAACATGGTACAGGTTGTACCAATACACAATAGGTTAATGCTATTTATAAAGTAAGTACATTCAATTTATTAGAACCAATAATGTCACAACTTTTGAATGATACAATTTATTAGTGAAATTTTAAATCACATTTTCGCCCATGCTTATAACATTATATATTCGGTGCTGTATTTACCTAACGATTCTGCTAATGGGAGTGGATAGATAACTTTAGATCAATCTGGCCATTCCTCTTGAAGAAAGATGTGAGAAGATGTAAGAGTGGTGGTGGGGGTTACTCCCCAGATGGGTCTGGGGGCATAGGCCTAACATAGTCTACAATTTTGCCTAAAAATTAAAGTAATGAAACAATTATTTTAGGATGAGGGATAAACTAAAATTTGTTAATAATAATCTCAGATAAGCAATATTAGTCTCTCTCTCTCTCTCTCTCTCTCTCTCTCTCTCTCTCTCTCTCTCTCTCTCTCTCTCTCTCTCTCTCTCTCTCTCTCTCTCTCTCTCTCTCTCTCTCTCCTAATATTAAGCCATGAACCACGGGACTATAAATAGTTTTTAGCATAGCAAAAAAAAAAAACAACAAAAAGCCTTAGCAAATGCTAAAAGCTTTCAAAAAACCCTGGTGGGACATTTTTTACTGAATTGATTATTGTTATCATGGTGCCAAACTTCATGGATTCCGCAGTTGGCACAAACTTTGAATATATACAAACCCATATATGGAGATAATATACTTCGTGACAATCAAATATGCAAACTTAGGAAATCCACATTATTATGGGTAATTATCTAATATTTTGAAGTATATTCCTTTAAGAGTTAAGGTAACGGCAATTTATTGATAACCAGATACATAAACCAGTTCAAAATTCAAAAATTAACTGTACGCTGTAATTGATTTCCAGTCTTTAAATTGGACTCTTCTTTTGAGTAGTGTGCATTTTCTTAAACTAAATGAATATTTTTTTTAAAGAAATGTTTATTTGCACTGTACTAAATCTACACCGATGCGAGTTATAATCATCTCTTTACATATTTTACATCGTCTTAACCATGTTGAAACTTAAGAACGTGAAATTTGTATGTCGCATGTGTTGTGATTACGTCCGACATTACTTATTCGCACTAAATAGGAGCTTCTTGCATGATGGGCGACACTACTTTATGAAACACTGAAATAGTTTTACGCTGATGGAAGCAAACTCACGAATATCTTTAAAGCTGGCAGTGAATGTGATTCATAAAGTTTGGTAGCATTCCTATTTTCTTTGTGCTTAGAAAGCCGAGAGACTGACTATACAAATTGGGCTCTATTCATCCATAGGGTCTATGAGTCTTAAGTTTTTGAGACATTCATAATTTGCAAGTTACTAGGAGGACAGAGGACATATTACTTAAGGAAAAAGAATGTGTGGTTCGCTCAATTTGTGTTTTACCTGACGATTACCACTAAGAACGTGGGAATGGGAATCGACATTGGAGTAAATTCCACATACATGTGACTTCTGTGTATATCTGAGATACAATTTGGTAATTGTTATGATATTTGGAAACAACACACTCCTTGAAGGCTATACAAAATTGTGAAACATTGACATGACAGTGGGGACCCTTCCCCAAGATAATATTTGAAAATTAGGATCTTTATTTAAGACAAAAAGAACCCCCAAACTAACCCTGTTTTGCTTTGCTGGTAGTAGACAATTCATGTAAAAGTAACAGATTATGAAGCATTTGTTTTTAACTGGAGGAACTCCGTTTTCTGTTAAATATGTGTTTGCCTTGGGTTGACGTAAAGGTCTTTAGTACGATTCGTAGCCGTTTACAACACATGCTTCAGTCAACCGGGCTAGGGGTGGGACGAAGGTGAAACAATTCAGATAGTTCATATTTTTTTAAAATGTAACTAACCTTAGGTTGGGACGAATAAAAATCCGAATAGGAAACTTAAATCACTGGCACACTAAATGAGTTTCAGTCCATTTTTCTTTCTATAGATAGCGATGAAAACAATAATTAATGTTTTCTCTCAGGGGAAAATAAATAGAACATTGGGGCGTCAGTTTCCTGTTGTACATTAATTTGATGTAAACAAATTTATGATACCACTAAAATGTTTGTAATGATTATTAACTGCATTGAAACTCTATTGTTATCGTTAACAACGATCGAATCATACTGTATATCATCTTCCACTATAATGGCGGCATTTACACTAAATTTTGATTTGAAAATGAATTGTGATTATGTAATGATGTGATTCCGAATTTGTGATCTGTTTCGTCAATTTTTAGCTCATGATGTCACATATTGTCACTTGAAAGAAAGCGTCTGGTGTTGAAAAAATAATTACAAAGCCTTTGCAAATACTTTCCTTGTTTCATTTATGTGTGTAATCTGCTTTAAGTTTATGAATCTATCACATTGTCTAAAGTTTATATATATATATATATATATATATATATATATATATATATATATATATATATATATATATATATATATATATATATATATATATATATATATATATATTCCAGTATTACACTAGTTTAATAACACCAAAGGACATAGCGAATTATGGTATGACAATATATTATGTTAGGGAATGTAATTCAAAGCCAATTCTTTATATTATTTTTATGGTCCTTACTGAGTAAAATCGGTATTTACATGTAATACCATCGTAGATTTGAAATGATTTTAAATGGTTTAAAAGTCCATAATAATTCAATTCGTTCTATATATTTCATTTAAAATAGACACTCGCGTAAGACCCTGCAGCAATTGTTATCTTATATAGTTGTTTACATTCCATTGTTTTTGAAAAACAATTTGCTTGAATAAAATATAACTTCATTCTGTCCTGCTCTAACAGTCATCTGCAAAGTTATTACTTAATTTTGCCTGTGTTGCATCAGTAGGACCAGTAAAGTGCAGACAAACGTGACCTCTCTTTTCTTATTTTTAGCAACATGGAGATTCATTTCGTCTGGACGTTACTATGGAAACGTTCTTTCCAGTGCCTCTTGATTAGCCTGGAAACTTGCATCAGTGCTAAACACATCATTGTTATATAATTTGTTTTTCCATTTATCAGATGTTAAAAGCTGAGAGAAATGAACAAGAAGAATTACCCCCCAACCCACTTGTGTAAAATGAGAAAACTCGTACTATTAAATTTTCAAATCAAAATTTCTGCTTTACTCGATTATAGAAAATTAAAAATATGCAAATTATTAACATAGAATACATATATTATAAATCTCAATATTCAGAATTCATTTTTAAGAATGAAGACGTTCTATACTTATACTTTCCGTACTAATATTAAAAGTATGTCAATAGAATAAAATGAAATAAAAGAAACTTTAATCTTATTGCAAAAATACAAAGGATTGTTTTTTACATTTTATTTTATTTTATTCACAATGTGAAAGGCAACAAATCTACAGGATAGATGTAAAAATAAAACTATCTAATGCCAAATTCGTTCTTTGGACTTTAAGACACATTTCATTGTTTAGGTTTTATTGATCATGTTCAAGTTAGTCAGAAATAAGGTAACTGCAGTGTCAAACCTTGCAGGCGTTAAAGCAGACTCAAATTAATCCCATGTAGTAAGTTTCATTTAAAAGACATCAAGCTGAATGTTCAAGTTATGGGTGAATTTCATAAAACCAGCTCCAGCACCTAGGTGTACAAAGCATGACTTTTATGAACTCCTTGTTACATGAAGACCAGTTTTTGGAAACTGATTCCTTTTGCATATATAAATCTTACCCATTTATTATCACGCTTCCATGATATAATGTCTGGTGTCTGGTTTCTTGTACAAAATTTTAGAGACGGGTTATGTGTAAGAGTGTGCATGGTCAATGTGCATAATCAATCAATAATCAATAAATGTGCATAATCAATCAATAATCGATAATAATCAATCAATGTGCATAATCAATCATGTGCATAATCAATCTGATCATTAAGCTGATTAATTATTGGTCAATAAGCATCAGGCTGTCAGATATCTCTGAGAAAAAAAATAATAATTAAAAATAAAATAAAAAAATTATTTATTAAATTAAATCCTTTTTCTCATCAAACTTTGTGTCCAGTGAGAAGGATGGGGCATTCATTAAAAGGAAAACTGTAATCTGCATATATATGCATAATTTTCTACAGGAAAATTAAGACAAAGTTTTTTGCAAAAACTATTAGTAGGGACAATGTTTAATTATCAATGCTTAAAAACGTTTTGTAAACGATAAAATAAAATTATTGTTTTACATGCACATTTTAAAAGGGAAATG